CAATCAACGACGGCCTAACGCTTAGATGACAATTTCGGTTTCAAATACCCCGGCTTAGTGTTCTAGGTTCTTCGCGTAATTAGGTGTTCGTATGCAAGAGATTTTTCCACATAAAAACGACTAATTAGGCCGAATTTTGTTATCGGTTGGCTTAATATAACCCCAACGGACCGTATTTTTGTGAAAGATTGGTATTTTTGTTCTGATTTGTAGGAATCTGAAAAACGCGTTTCACAACTTGTCTCTTATTTAGTTGTATGCGTCATTCAATATGGCGGCCCCCATATAGTAAATATCGTATTTATTTTATTATCACGTTTGCGCCAGCTGACTGTGGTATACGTAGTCTACATCACGGCACATCGGAGAGTTGTTTCGGGCTATGTCCTCACATTACCCCCCCCCCCCCCTGTCCCGTGATGTTTTCTACACATATCCAATCATTTTTTTTCAAACCGTCAATCATTTGGCAGAATAAGCATCTGTACATTTAGGAAAAATGTAGGCATACCAATTTTCCGAGAAAAATAAAATATTTGTGTAAACGAGGATGCACCATGTGGGTATGATTGAACGTTGGTGGCAAATCCTAAAATATTGGCGTTATACAATATATTGAATAGCACTTTCTATAACGACTTGCCATAACAGCAAATATTGAAGCGAATAAATTTGACTCAAAATAATGACAAATACATACTTTGAGCCATTTTTTTTTTGATGAGTAAATGTCAGAAACAGTGTAGAAATCCAGCTGTGATGACTCGTACAGCATAACACTTGTGAAATGCAGCGAGATGATTGCAGAAAAATCAGATATAATATAAACAATAATATCGGGTTACCCACTAAATATAGGCCATGACTACTGAATGTTAGCATTGATGTATTGATTTAAGGTACTTTGCCACCGTTCAGTAAAACAAATAATCGGATTTCCCTACCGATTTGTTTTATGTCAATGTTCAAAAAAAAAACGATAAAATATACATTCACAAAACACATTTCAAACATTCATGAATTCAAAATGGTGACTTTTGAGCCATTTACAAAATTTCAGAAACACTCCTGTTAGAATTGTCCATCTTTAACCCAATAACCTAATTTTTGAACGAATTTGAAATCAGTGTAGTGATTGTTTTATTGTACGTACCAACAAATAAGTGCACATGCGTATTAGTGTGTAAGTTTTAGAATTCATTGACATTAGTGTTTCATCGAATGAATACTAAGCGGTGTGTTACAAACACAGATGACCTATAATTGATCAACCATAATCCAAATTATTTCTAAACACACAATATTACAAATTACATGTTTCCATCCATATATTTACTACAAAAATGCTATTATAAACATCTCGAAAATGATTACCGGTTGGAGAAATATACCAACAGTGGTGAACTTAATTTCAAAATATTCGGACAAACCATTTCTGTTTTATAAATAACATATGATACGATAAATAAGAATGGTTTATACGTATAAATTGCATTGGTCTTGTGATCAAACTAGGGTATAGTAGATAATATTTGGTAATCGTGTTCTCAAGTAACTATTCAAAATAGACAGCGATTACCGAATATTATCATATTTATATATTTATATGCTATGTTTATGATCAAAATGAGTCTCAATGTATACAGCAATCTTAAAGGGCGGCAGTCGTCGTGACGCGTCCTGTTCGACATGGGACTCATAGCGACGTATACAACACGCGCTGCGCGACGACCACCGCGCTTTAAAACTTAATAGAACCAGGCATATATTTAATTATAAACATACATTAACGTACAATAAATACCAAACTCTGTGTTATGACGTCAGATATAGGTATATATATATACTCTGGGTGATATAAATAATTCATATATGTATGTGTAATGCTTTGTATCATAATAAACATAAAAACGGCAAGGGCATTTTACACCATGTTTATATTGATACAAGGTATGTGGACGTACAAAGTCCCAATAAAACTAGGTATTAATTACTAGAAATGTTGTAAAGATGATTTTCTCAGACTAGGACTTTTTTAACTCCTGTGCCTATGCACCCAAACACTAAATAAGCGATGAAACCGCGAGAGTCTGGGCGCCAGGCTGTCTACCGAGAAGTCAGATTTATCGTTTGTATTTCAACCATAAACGACGACTGTTTATTTGTATGTTCTTCTGATATATTGTGCCCGTAGAATGTGGCTTGCAACGTTTATTGTTTTTAATTGTGAAGATTTGGTAATTTGCGGTTGCAGAAATTCTGAACTCGAATTCCAGTGTTTTTCTTGAATTCTCCTTTCAGACAGTTTTTCGGAATCATGTTAATCTGATTATTTTCTGCTATCACCACAATCTGATACCATCATGGCGAAATTTGGTGTCCCAATGTTTACATTGTGACAAAAATATATCAAAAGAAGTGGCGTGTACACTAATCGAAAGCGAGTGCGGGTATGATTGAAATCAACACGATCAATTTGAATAAGCATGTTTGTAATGATAAATCGGACAAATGTATTCATTAGCAATGCAAATAAACTTTGTACCACAAATATGCGGATTATTGTCATTGCTAAAAGCAAAATCTAAAAAATTATTATTATACGTTCGATATTTATTGGGATATAACAAATTGCGCTCATAAATGAATTATGTTACACAATGCCCATATATGGAGGTTAAATCATTACCAATTACATTATCAGGAACCAATAGGTAACAAGAAAGTCATCAGAGATGGTTGATCACCCGCCATCTTTATTATACGCACTGGTTGAACTATATCTTAAACTAAACTTATAATCCCGAATTATTTTATTAATATGCATCTTACTCGGGTGCTGCAAAATATCAACTCAAAATATAAGGGCCAAACTAAAGGTCTCGGCGGTTGAAACTGTTTTACGGTTTCATAACAATATTTTTTCCTATAAAGTTGTCCGACGTCAGACTTGGTAACCGTTTTCACGACTCTCGTGGCTGATTCACGCCTGCTGGTGACGATGTTGCGTTTCCCAAAAGTTTGATCACCTCTGTTCAAAAATAGCAAATTAAAAAGCGGTGATCGTCCACAGCGCGTGCTCGGATTTCAATGTAGTTTACATGCGTTGTATACTAGTATGTCGCTATGAGTCCCATACCCCCCCCCCCCATATCGAACACGGCGCTGCGTTGCGCGACGACCACCCCACTTTTAACAGTGATTACTAATCCGTAAAGCTGACCCTAGTGGTCAGCAAGCCGTTGAAGGAATTATCAGATGCAAACGGAACTACTTCTTTTCAACTGCATATAAAGAATATTACTTATTGTGATAAATGCGTAATTATTTTTTTTACAGAAAAAGTAATTTTTCACCTTCGATTGAGTAACGCGTCGTAGAATGCAGATACAGGCATGCAAAATACACTTGTGAAAAGCTTGAAGTCTGGCGATTCTAAAAATATATACTTTCCTGGGTCTATTTGTAGTCATTTAGTCACAATTAGAAGATGAAAACAAGTATGCAAATAATAGTCCCGCTACCTTAAAGGGCGGTGGTCGACGCGCCGCGCATGTGCGACATTTGTTTTGATAAATATTCATTTTCCCACAATCCAATGTGCTCTTCTAATGGGAATCACAAGTATGAGGTTTGACCTGGGCGAGACTTGCACTAATTACCGCCGGTGACTCGATACCTTCCAATCACCTAAATAATACCTAATTAAAGCCTAGTAACGTCACAGTTTGTACTCGTTGATCTGCGCAACAGCCAAAGTCGCCATCTTTGTTTATATGAGACCCATA